TCATGGCAGCCACAGGGAAACTATTACTACTATTACTGAGGTAGAATTCACAGAACAAACTCAACATCTTAAAGGGCACTTGGGGGCAGACAGATGGTGTAGTGGTTATGTTGCTGGACTCCCACATGGTCGACTGTAATTCGATTCCCAGACCTGGTGGTTTGAAAATCATGCTGGGTACTTGTGTGTAAGTGCATGCCTGAGAGCCCAGGAGAATAGAGAAGGGATTGCAGTGTGACCAATCTCTTTGGGCAGGGGGGATATGAATTCCCACTTTCTCTCTCACTGTCTGTCTCTCTGTTGGATAGCACGTGTACCCTAGGCAAAAACTTCTTTAAAAAAAAAAAAAAGTGCACTTGGCACATCTACCATGCGTGCAACTGCCACCTCTACCAAGTTCCAGAACCTTTTCAGAAGGAAATGCGGGCCTGTTGACAGCGACGCCCCCCACCCCCCGCCCGGCCCAGCCTGGTGTGCAGCTGCTGCCTGTGCTTTATCTGGATCTGTGATCATCTCTTCACTCTCAGCTCTGTCTTTATGTGGAACAACGGCCCTGAGGCCTTTTAGGGGCTGCACCAGTCCTCACCCACGTGCTATGGCTGGGCTGTTCACAGCAGTCACTGTCCACCATGTGGCAGTGAGTGAAAGGACAGACTCTCGGGACTTTGGGAACATAGCCCTGGCCATGGGTCTGTGGAGAGTCAGTGAACCTGGCTATCTCTAAGGCTCAGAACCAAGGGAGACCTCCTGTCCACACTAAGAGGGTCTAGGAGTACCTGGCCAGGGTTACAAGGAAGCCCTGGATAGTCCTGTTCACTCCAGGGTAAACAGGCCAGGGAGGGGTGAGGGAGGTGACACTGGAGGATGGATAACAGGGTAGAGGGCAGCAATTGAGGAATAGTGCTGGGGGTGGCCACCTGGCAGGGTGATGACCAGCCCCTCACCCCATATCATGTCTGTCAGGTCCGCCAGCGTGTCTCCAACCTCCTACAGGAAGCCAAGGCCCAGGCTGCTCTGGTGCTCGACCACCTGGAAACCCGGAAGGAGTGATGGCTGTGACTTTGGTCCTGTGATGACAGGGTGGGTGGCCTCTAGACACAGCTTGGGGCCCAGAGAATAAAGATGGAGGCTAACGATAAGGGTGGGGTTGTGGGGTAGACAGGGCCTGTCCTGGAGGGCAGAGGTGCTCACAGGGTCACCCAGAATGGTTTGGTCATGTCGCTCTTGGTCACTTGCAGCCTCCAGTAAATTCTCCATATCAAGCCTGTGTGGTGTACTGGTTTGGTGGGCAGGGCTGGGGCTAGACCTGGGATCTTGGGAAAGGGATGGGGGCAGTGGCCTATGGTTCATATGCCATCGGAGCTGGTGTTGGAGGAATCAGGTTACAACTAAGGTGATACTGGACCCCATACGGTGTGGGTGTTGCACAGATGCAGCAGGACCTGTGCCCAGTCACAGGTGGCTTTGAGCATCCTGGGATTTGGTGTAGGACACCTGAGGCCATGTGGCTCTTAATTCATGTGAAGGAGGCTTTGGGTTGATCACAGGTCAGATGCTTTATGGGGATGGCAGCACTTTTAATGCCAAGGAAGACACTTCACATGGCAAGAAGGCCCTTGAGCAGCTCCTGAGCAAATCATTGTCACCGGCTCTGGCCAGGCCTAGACACTAGTCACCTTCCAACTTCCTCACAGGTATCTCCTCCCTGCTGTGGTAGCCTCCTGCCTTCAAAGAGGCTCTTCCTTGAAAGTAATTCTAGAGCTCTCTATACCCCCAAATAACTTCCAGACGCTTATTACAGATACCCAACCAAAGTAAGAATGTACTTACTAGGAAACAATATTGGGTATTAAAAAGAAGTTCAAGCCCAAGGTAGAAACCCCAGATGCCTTTCTCTTCTTCTTCCTTTTTATTTTTTTTAAGAGAGATTTTTGCTATAGGATGTGTGTGCTTGTCAGAGAGACAGAAAGTAAGAAAGAAATCGCCCTCCCCTGGGGGGGTGGCCACACTGCAATTCCTTTTCCTTTAGTCTCCTATCAGAATATTGGGCATGCATATGACACACACCTGGCGTGAGTTTGAAACCGCCGTGTCTGGGACTCAAACCATGGTCGACCATGTGGGACTCCAGCAACATAACCATTATGCCATCTGCTGGTCCCCAAATGCCTTTCTTACAGAGGAGTTTACTTGCCTTTGAGTTTACTAATCTCAAAACCTTATTTCTGGAAAATACATCATCACCCAAGGTAAGTAACAGGCATCCTGTTTACTAATCTCAAAACCTTATTTCTGGAAAAGACATCACCCAAGGTAAGTAACAGGCATCCTATTGGAAGGAAAAATTCCTGCCAGACACAGCAGGCAGAGGGCTGCAATGGACCGGTGAGAGCAGCTCCTACATATGGAACAAGGACAAGGTGCTCAGGAGGCCACCTGGGCAGTCCATGTAGGAAAACTGCCTGGTGCCTGGGACGGGGAGGGCAGTGGGGGTGGTCACTGGCATGGTGTCTGCCTCACCAAGGAAGAGTGTGCAGGTTTTCATGGGTGACCTCTTGAAGTGCAGTAGCTAACAGCCAGCTGTGGAACCGCCTATGGACACTTCCTCATCAGTAGGAATAGCTGTGTGTCTATGTGTGTGCACATTTGAGGGTTGCACCAGCAGGCCCCTGCCTGAGGCCAGCTCTGGGAGGGGAGAGTCCTGGGGTGCAGGGGTCGATGTGACTGGGCAGCATACCTGTATTTGAGCACCTCTTTGTAGTGAATATGCCTTGGGGTTTCCTCAGTCTGCTGTGGAAGCAGATTGGTGGGGAGGCAGAACTGGGGTGTTGGGACCCTCATTATTTGATGTGAAAATGAGGAAACAGTGCACCATCTGCTGCTGACCCCACTGTAGGAGGTAACTCCAATCTCAGCAGCTGGCAACTGCTGGGGTGGGCCTCCTTTCTGGCCCTGCCGCTGGCTCCGCCCATAGCTACATCAGCTGTTGGCCCCACCCCCTATGTGCAGACCTGGGTAGAGGCCCAGATGCAGGTCCAGGGCTGCAGATGAGATGGCAGCCTCTTGGAGCTGGGACGTGGACCCTGAGTAGAGGCACCAGCTCTGGGCTTGGTTTCCAAAGAGAGTCCTGCTGGTGTCTCCACCTTACTTCTCTAGAGACCTGCGCTTGCCCCAGGCTGCCGTGAACTGGATCTGTCCTCCTCCTTGTGGCCGAGGGTGGTTTCTGGGGACAGGTAATAGTACCTCTGTGGATAGGACTCATGGAATCACTTGTGGGTAGGTCCAGCACATTTGAAGATGGAGTTAATGACCTGGGAAAAAGGGGCTGGCTGTCGAGGGACCCCCTGGGGAGTCAATAGGCCTCTACTGGGTTGGTCCTATGTCTTTTCTTGTAGGACCCACCCAACATGGACAGGTAAAGGACAGCTCTGTGAGACCCAGGGTCCTAGAGTTCCTGCCAGCCCCTGGGGGTTTACATGTGCATCTCCCAGGGGACATGTGGCTCTTTCTTTCTTTCTTTCTTTCTTTCTTTCTTTCTTTCTTTTTTTCTTTCTTTCTTTCTTTCTTTCTTTTTTTTTTTTTTTAAGAGGTTTTTGCTACAGTGCACATGTGCTCGCCAGAAAGTCAGAGAAAGACAGACAGACAGAGAGACAGAAAGCGAGAAATCACCCCCCCCAGGGGGTATGGCCACACTGCAATCCCTTCTTCTCCATTCTCCTCTTGGGATCTTGGGCACACATGCACATGTGCCTGGAGTGAGTCTAAGCCACTGGTCCAGGACTTGAACCGTGGTCGACTACATGGGAATCCAGTGACATAGCCATTATGCCAACTACTGGTTCCATGGGACATGTGGCTCTTTAAAGCCCAATGAGTTCAGAGGTCAAGGGCAGCTATGTCCCTCTGCACCCCTCAGTCCCCAAGGCCTCCAGGTGTATGTGTAGAGCCCTTGGGGGCTGAGGGGTGAGCCACCCTCTCTTACTTTCTTGTACCTTGGATGGGTGCCCACCAGGTGTAGTAGCGGCTGCAGGCCCCTGACCTTACTTCCACCCAGGTGGTTTAACCACAGAAGAGTGTTCTAGACCATTCTGTTTCTGATAATAGAAAATACCAGGAACTGGGTCATTTGTAAGAGCAGAGGTTTATCCAGCTCATGGTGTGGAGGACAGAGGCCCAGGGCCCCATCTGGTGAATGTCCTTTCTGGGTCATGTGGCAGAGGGTGAAGTTAAGTGTGTCTACTTCCAAGCATCTCTTCCTCACTTCAACCTTATAAACCCACCAGAATTTGGTAATGGGCCCTGCCTGATGCCCATTCACTTCCCAAAGGTCCCTCTTTTCAACACCATAATTAGGTTAAGTCCCTCTAACTTTTGGGGGAATACATTCAACCAGCTATGGGCTGGGCTAGAGGCAGTCAGCAAGGAGGTAGGGAGGGAGGGGGAAATCTCCACCACACTGGTCCTGCCCAATATGCAGGTGGTCTACATCGTTGTGGCCTGGCTGCGTGAGCAGTCATCTAACAGTCAGTCCTGCTGGGCCCACAACAGGATGTGACCCAGCTTATGGGACAACCTTGGGCTTGCAGTGAGGCTGGTGCCTGACAACAGCTGGGATCCTGGCTCTCACAGACCTCAGGACCTCACATGGGCCCCTCTGCTGTCCCTTCACCCCAGGGCAGAGCAACTGACCCACTTAGCCTCCTGACCAGCTGGGGGTGCTGCCCATGTGAGCAAAGGGCCCCTGGATCTGAAGGAGCTCCCATCACAGACCCCCATGACAGCCAGGGTGGAGCCCCAATGTTCCTGTAGTCAGTTTTCCATGCCGAGTCTCGCTGGTTGTGTACAGGCCAGGCCTTCAAGGGCACTGGGTGAACAGCCAGTTGGCGAGAACTCATGAGGCTGCTTGGAGTCACTGTCCTGCAGCCAGCTACTGGGAGTGAGGCCTTTGAGGGAGGCCCAGGCAGGGCGATGTTCAGGTCTGTGGCATGTGGAGTCACCCATGAAAAAGGCTGGGTCCTGTTGCTGGGAATGTGCAGCCATTGGCCCCACAGCTAGCCAGGAATGTGTGTCATGTCTGGGCCCTGGTCCCAGGCTCCCTTAGCACAGCTAGAGTGTGGCTGGGGCGCCACCTTGTGGCTGGTCTCAGAAAATGGCTTCCTTTCTGAAGCCCTGGCCAGTAAAGGGGGATAGGACCCCTATGGTAGGCCACAGAGAGCACAGCCACAGAGGGCACCCACTGCCCCCATATGGCTTTGGTGACTGCTGGGACGAGTACCAGAAGGCCCTATAGGGAAATAGCCCCGAACCACTGTCCTCATGACCCTTGCTGTCTCCACATAGCCCTGTCCCCACTTCTCTGTCTCCACATCCTCACTGTTCCCATGTTTCTCCGTCCCCATCCCCTCCATGGCCACACCACACTATCCCTATGCCAACTTACAGCAAAGGTTAGAGAGACACCTGCCACACGATGGGGCTTGGTGGAATGCCCAGATCCACATGGGATGAGGGCCCACTGGCTTGAAGCTTAGGCTGTGCCTGGCACCAAGAGGGAGCTGTGGGCTAGGTGAGGTGGGGCACAGAGGCCAATCTGGGGGAGGGTCAGCTGGACTGCTGGTGCCCCTCCAGGGCTCAAGGACTCAGAGCTTTGGGTCTCAGGTGGCTGACCTGCTGCCTCCTGGAGGGGCCATCACAGGACCTGGCGAGGGGCCTGAGGACTGTGGGGCAGCATGATGAGCCACTTGTTCGAGGCCCAGGTTCCTGCTCTGATTTCAGGGCAGAGGAGACCTGTCCTAAGCTTGCCCTGTTCCTGTTTCCGTGCTGGCCTCACCCGGATTGTGTGTCTGTGGTTCCTGCAGTGTCAGAGAACTGTCCTCCCCAGGGCCCTGGCTGCCTGTTCCTCCCAGACAGAGCAGACAGGAACTGTGGTCCGGCACTGTCGTGCTCTGACCCCACTCCTGTGGGCCACGGGAAGGGCCTCCAGAAGGCAGGAGAAAGAAGGTTCAGTGAAAAACACTGCAGCATATCCTGACATGAATGGGAAGGGTGACAGCGTAGCTTGTTCGTGCAGAGGTAACAAGGTGATGAGGCCCAGGAGCTCAGAAGTGAGGCCCGGCAGAGCGAGGATGGGTCTATAGGAACCTTTTTTTCTGGAGGACAAGCTCTTGACTCAGCACTATGCAGGGAGAGAGACGCTCTGCCCGCGTCTGCCCTGCTTAGGTCTGAGGGCGCACTGGGGAGGCAGCTTTTGTAAGGGGCTTCCACAAGGGGGCCTCCAGGAGGCATGTTGTGGAAGGAGCATGGAGTGGGCTGCTCCAATGGGTGGAGAAGTCACCGAGGAGAGGTTAGCGAGGCATGGACACCGGGGAGGGCAGGCTGGTAAGGACGTGTAGGGGAGGGTGTGCTGGTGAGACGATGTTCACGTGGGGCTTTGGTGAGGGACGTGGGTGCGATGTTGGTGAGAGCTCACAGGCGAGGGGCAGCTGATGATGGGGCGAATGTGTGGGTATGTAGGTGAGGCACGTTAGTGAGGGGACACTGAAGGGGAACTTGGTGAGGGGGCCCCCACATGCCTGCTCTCTGGGGTCTGACAACCCTTCAGGGGGACTGATGTCAGTGGGTGCACAGGCAGGGCTGGCTCAGAGAGGGCCAGGCTCAGCCTGGTGGGTGAGCTCCGGCGGGTGCAGCTGGGCCTCTGCCTCCCCTCACCTAACTGGCCTGGGAGGTCCTTAGTGGAGTATGGCAGGTGGAGGCTGCAGGTACAGACACAGAGACCGAGGGAATCCGGCAGCGTTTTTCCTCTGTAGCTGGCACTCATTCACGTGGTTCTTCTTGGGACGGGCGGGAGGCGTTGAGGATGAGAAAATGATTGCTGTCCTGCTTCCAGTTGCAGGTTAGGAAGCTAGAAATATCAGAAAATGAGCCAGTTGTCTCCAAAAGGATGTGCAGGTGTCAGGGAGTTATGGGACCGATTGTGCCCTCGCCAAGCCCCATGTGATGTTCCGATTCGTGATTCCCGATTCCTTCAGATTGTGACCATGCTTGCAAACAGGGTCCCTGCAGATGTAACTAGGACGAGATCATGCCAGAGTAGGGTGGGCACTCTGATCAATCCAACTCACATCCTTGCAAAAGGGCAATTAGTCACAGAGACACAGGGGAGAATGCCATGTGCAGACTGGAATGACACCCACCAGCCAAGGGACTCTAGAAACTGGGAGGGGCCCAGCAGACCCCTGCCCCAGTGCCTTCTGAGGCTGCGGCACTGCTTCTGCCCTGGTCTCCAGCTCTGGCCTCCAGCTCTGGCCTCCAGCACCAGGGAAGGTCAGTTCTGCTGCTCGGGGTGCTCGGCCTGGGGCCTTGTAATGGCTGCCTGTGCGGACGAACAGAGCAGAGCACCTGCCTGCCGGAGCCAGGGTCCCATGTGCACTGCCCAGAGGTGGGCTCACAACATCTAGGAGCCTGAACAACCGAAAAGTCCCAAGACTGACGAAAAGGAATCTCTCTGTCTGCCCATGCAGTCAGTCCGTCTGTCCAACCCTACATAAGATCCCCACACAAACCACGAGATCTTCTTAAAGCATTTTGGCCCTTATTTGGGGAAAGAGGATCATGTGCCATTGTTCCCAGCCAAAGCTGACTGGCCAGAGTGGATGCTGAGGTTGAGGCTGTCCAGCCTACATACCTGGGGAGAATGTGGGTGGGCAGTTTCTTGAGGTGACACCTGCCCCCATGGCAGAGCCCTGGCTGAGCTCCATGATGTGGGGAATTATCAGCCCTGGGGGGCAGGTCCCAGGGTCCCCTTGCTGGCTGGGGAGGCCACAAAGGTGAGACATATTTGGGGGTCCATGCTGGGCACACACACTCAGGGCTGGCAAGCAGGAGGTGGTTCGAATCCTTTATTGGACCATGGGGTGTGTGTCACAGAGGCTGGGGGAGGTGGTGCTGCTCTTAGGAGCCCAGGTGGGCACTGAACTGGCAGAAAGCTTTAGAAAAGGGCCGCAGAGTGGGCACTGGGCATGGGGTGAGGCAGGAGCCAGGGTAGGCTGAGACGCCAAGAAAGTGGGTAGCCAGTTGAGGGCGTAGGGACTGACAGGGCCTGGTTCCAGGAAGCCTCTGGGTGGGGGAGGGCTGAGGGAAGGAGGGGCCCCAGGGCTGCCACACGTTGCAGGATCCGAGGAAGGGAGGTGCAGAGGCCTTGGAGTAGGCCTTCCCCCTGGGGACCTCCCTGGGCTTGAGACCCACAACACATGTAGGATGCCCCGCAGGAGGCCCTGAGTTCCCGGTGGCCAGCTGGGCTGGGGTTGGAGTAGCACCAGGTCGGAGGGCGCCAGGCTTTGCCTGCACCACAGGGCACAGTGGTGGCTTAACAGATCCAGCGGATGAACCTGTCAAAGAAGCTAGGCTGCACCAGGCTGTCATAGTCCTTCTCACGGAACACAGCGGCCCTGTCGCCAAGGCTGAGTGTGGTCAGCATATCCATGTCCACATCTCCGCCCACGGCCACCACGGTGGGCACCACGTTCTGTTTGCGCATGGAGTGCACCGACTCCTCCAGGCTATCATTGCCTGTGACGCCATCCGTTAGGAACACGAAAGACAGCTCGGCATGGCGGCGCGCCCCAGCCCGAGCACCACGCACGATGGTGTTGATGGCATGTACGACACCTGCACCCACGTGCGAGAATGAGTTGAGGTAGCGTGCGCCCTCCAGTGCCTCATGGATGACTGTCAGGTTGTAGGTCAGCGGGAAGGCCACCTGCTGCTCGCCCAGACCACCGAACTGCAGCAGTGCCACGCGGGCATTGAGTGGGTCGTCATCCGTGCGTGCCAGTGTTAGTCGCCGTGACACCTCCTCCACGAAGTGCCGTGCCTTGAGGAAGTTCTGTTCGCCCAGCCTCTCCGAGCCATCCAGCAGGAAGACGATGTCCACAGGCCGCTGCGTGCACTGGGCCACGTATAGCTCTGAGGGGAGATGCACTGTGGGTGCCTGCCCAGGCCCAGGGCTCTGCCCTCACTCCCACCCTGCTCTGCTCCACTGTGGCCACTCCCCATCCCTGCCACACCCCTTGCTGGTTCTGCCCTACTCTGACCACTCCCCAAGCTCATCTCTCTATGCACATTTTGTCAACAAGATCTGATGGGCCGCTGGACTCAGGAGCTTCACTCAAAGTCACTGATGGTGGGCACCTCACAGAGCAGTCCCGGGTGGATCCTCAGCCCAGGCTCTTGAGAGGCACCAGGAGAGGGGCCAGGCAGTTGCTCCGAAGATGCATCCTAAACCAGAGTGCTGGAGACTCCATCGGAGGCCAGGGCCAGAGGGCCTGTGCACAGCTAAGCTCCATCCTAGCTAGGTCTGTCCCTTGAGGCCTAAGGGTGGGGAGGGTCGTAAAGTCCCTCTCTTGGCCCAAGAATTTGATGCAAAAGCAGCAGGAGGGGGTCTCATGAAGACCTCCAGCCTTGACTCCTGTAGTGATCCCTCACTGGCTGTCTCCAAGCTGCCTGAGTTGCTGCCCAGGTGCCCCTGAAGCTGACTAGCCATGTCTCTCCAGGCAAGTCTAGAAGGCCAAGTCCCCTCTGAATGCCATGCTTCAGTGTGCTGTGGGCATGTGAGAGTCAGGCTGAGGCTCATCCAGACCCCTAACTGAGCAGTCACCAGCCGTGGACATGATGGCCAGAATGGGGGTGGGGCTGCAGCTAGGGTGAAGCCAGGCTGCCCACCACACATGGGGACATCATATGGGCAAGAGACTATGGGCTGAGACAATGACTGTCCACATGCCATGAACTTGAAGCCAGGTCAGGCTCTTGTGCCTCTCCCAGGAGAAAGAGATGGTGCTCCTGAGATGGTGCTCAGCTTCTTGACCTGGACATGCTGACCCCAGGAATCCCATCAGAAGCCAGTACTGCCCCTAGGTACACATGCCCAAGGACCTCAATAGGGACTCAGCTTCAGTGTGGCCCTGAAGAGTCAGGCATCTAGCCCTTGGCATTAGTGAGCACACCTAGCTGGCCAGTGACCACAGCACACATCTGGTTCCCACATCTCGGCTCTCGAAGACATTCACACCAACTGCATCTGAATGTTTTAATGAACTTATTAAGGATGTAGCTTATCTGCTGCAAGCAGGGTGACTCTGCTCCAAGGCCACACCTGGAACCTTGGCAAGGTGGGCGGTGGCCTCTATTTCCCCTCCTACTGCTGAGCCCCATGGCAGGAGATCTGGCCCGGCTGGTGGGTAGTGAGCACGGGGGTGAGACCCTGACTACAAGGACGGCACCCTGAGCCTAGATGAGGGCTCCGAGGACATTGGCGAGACATCCTATGTCTGAGCCTGCCTTGTGGGGGCAGTGCCTCTGCCAATCTCCTGTGGGGAGGGTTCCCCACTTGGAGGTCCCTGGGGTTCTCTGCTCAAGTTGCCCAGGGGTCTCTGAATGCCCAGAGGTTGGCAGAGAGGATGCGGATGCCTGGAGAACCAGGGCACGCTGGGGCACTTTGGTGGTTTGTCCCAATGGGTGTGATGCTAGCTCAAATGTGTCATGGTGTCAAATCGGCCAGGACCCTAGGCATGCATCACATCACCAAAGCCTGTGGCTGGCTGTCACAACCTCTGGGGCTGTCCCTGAGGATCAGCCAGGGTGGGGGATGCCCCACGCAATGGGGTCATGTTCCTCTCTTACCCTTGTCCCCAGATGCATGACAGCTCAGCTGGACAGGGTTGGTGTGGTAGGCTGGGTAATGCCTCCAGAAGATGCCCACAGCCTGATCCCAAAGAAGACTGTGGAGGTGGGTTTAAACTAAAGACCGGGACTTTTGGACTTAGAAGGGCCTTAAAATCTGTGCTGGCTGCTGTTATAAAGAATTGATATAGAGAGGGGAGAGCGGAGAGAGAGAGAGAGAGAGAGAGTGAGAGAGAGTCAAAGAGAAGAGGCCACCTGAGGATGGGGGCAGGACTGAAGTGAGGCAGCCACAAGCCAAGGAACACCAGAGTCTACTGGGAGGCTCCCTG